TCTTTTATGAAAATTACAATAAACGATTTACATAATAATATCAGTCGTTCGTCCGCAAGTGTGATACGGTTATTCATAGGCGCAACTATATAGACCTTTTTAAGGGTGCACAAATTAGTAATTACAAAAGTTTCCTGTATAATTTCCCCTATTAACACTGTATAATGTATATATATTAAAAATAATTTCAAATGTATATTTATGTACCACCTATATTTTTAATTTTTACAGTAAATTGTGACTACTATATAATATATACCTACATGATTTTTCGGCCTGTAAATTGTATTTATTTAAATTACTGCTAGTTCAGACTTCTGGACGACGTCGTCCCCCTCACCTATCTCAATTGTACCCATAATGCCATTACAATTATATTTATTCAGTTGAGTAGGTACTTTTTAACTATGACTAATTTGAACTAGAATTAGAATAGCTTTAAACAGGAGGACTATATTAAATCGTTATAATTTCTTGTTAAAAAGTTTTTTTATTTTTTTTTAATTCTACTTGTACTATTATAATTACATATCGAGAAATGAAATACTAGCAGAGGTAGGATGGTCAGGAAAATCGCATACCTAGTTTTTTCAACGGTAATGATCAGCTCCCATCACGCATTCGATAGTACAATAGTTAAGAACCTATGTAATTATTATTTGTATTATTTCATGCACTAGATGAACTGTACGACTTGGTCGATATTCGTGATGATTTTCTTGAGCAGAATGATAAGTATTGAACAAACAAATGATGTATATGAATCACAGACTTGAAGAAGATGACGAATAAACTATACCAATTTAATATTTTTAAGAAAAACGTGTCTCATGAAACACATTAAGTTTACAATTTAAAACACTAGGTATAAAAAAATGCCAATTTGTAGTTGTTAAGTGAAATTGTATTATAATTTATTTATTGTAGGTTGTGATAATTATTTTTAGATTACTGTGTTTTATCGATAGGCAACTTAACATAGTTTAAAGTGAATTGGATACACAAATTACAATAATTTAATTTAAGAGTTGTGTTTGTCGTATTATGATATTGTATACTTGATTACAAGTTTGAAGTTACAAGTTAGAGCTCAAGCAATTTTTGTATCATTTTGTAAATGTTTAAAATTTTTTTTTACCTAGATAAAGTTGAACTATTTGAAAAATTAATCATATTATCGTTAAACTTTTCCTATATAGCTCATAGCTGGCGTATTTAGTCCAGTGGCGTATTTAAGATTTTGGCACCCTGGGTACACACATTTTGGCGCCCCTTTTTGTCTCAGTTTCTTTTTACTCATTGTCACAAAAAATCTGATTTACAATTTACTTTTTCTCTCAGTTAATAGTGCAGAGCTTGAAACCGGTATAATCCGTTATAAAACCAAAACCGAAAAAAATTGGAAAGCAGTGTACAAATCGAAACCAAAACAGACATTTTTTCAATCGGTTTCAAGCCACGTAAAAGTGATAATTGATAACCCAAAATGTATATTTTCCCCTTATTGCATTTATGCTTCCACTAATTTAGAGAATACTTTAATTTTACCATTAACACTATAAGTAAATAAACAAATTAAAATTTTGATTTTAGCCTTTTTGCATTTTTTTACGACAATTCAATAAAATACATTATGTATATAACATAGAAATATGTACCTATAGAAATATAAAAGATATTATAAGACAGATACAGGTATTCACTTATCAGTTATCACTAATATAATTTCTCAACAAATAAAATAAAAAAATTATTTTGTTATAACCACCTCTAGGCGCCCCTTTGAGGACTCAGAATTTGGCGCCCCGGGGCAATTGCCCCCCGTCGCCCCCATCTAATTACGCCTACGCTGGCGTCTTATCAAACAGCGTTTTAAAAACAGATTGATTAGTGAAAATTGTGTTCTAAAATGGATACAATAGCGGGGCTCCGTTAAAAAACTTAAAATAAAACTCAAAGGTTATTGTTATTAGTGAAAATTAAAAAAAAAGTTGAGCGTAAACCCACAATAATTTTTTATGAGTGACGAAATTCGTCAAAATTATAAAAACGTGCAAGCTATTATAAGTTAGATATTAATAAAATGTTTTTTGTTTATATCTAAGATTTAAAAATGGAATACAAGGTATAGACGTATAGTTTACATAAGTAGGTAGTTATTTTAATAACAGAATAAAAACATTAAATATATGTATTGTGTATGCACGATTTTTTTCATAATTGTAGTTAAAATGTTGACAGAATCAGTGCTTGAATTGGAAAAAAAATAGAAGGGGGATGCAAAAGTATAAATGATATGTGCGTCCCCGAACATTTAAATGTCTTACTGTTAAGTGGTAGCATATGTCCCCCTCCCGCTACAATGACATTTTATACCATACACCAATAAACCTAACCTAACCCTGATACTATCATAGATATATAATATAGTGTACTTAAGAAGTTTTAAGTACCCACGAATAGTATTATACACTCAACAAAATAACTAAAATAGGTATGCTAGGTTTTTTAATATGTAATTTCGTCCCAAATTTGAACTTAAAATGACCATAAAAATAAACTGTGCTTGTGTATTTTTTAGATTTTTTGGTAACAGAATTAACTACTTACGTGGAATCTTGTTTTAAATTTTCAATCCTTAGCTATAAAAACTGAACATTTTATAATTTATTAATTACGATGATTGATAATTTTCGAGATTTTGATAAATTTAGTCAAAATGCGATCTTTAAATGCTTATAGAAAAAAATTGTGCCAATGTATTTTTAATATTTTTCAATTGCTATTGTAACAATATATCAGGAGCATTGTATTAATTTTTTACACTTTTTGGCCCAACAGATAAAACTTTATTGATATTTATAGAAAAAAAAAACTAAAAAAATTGAAAACTAAAAAGGTCCGTAAACGGCTCAAAAAGAGTCAAAATATTTTCAAAATTGTATGGTGTATAGTAAATGCTAATATAAACATTCAGTGAAATTTTCATGTATCTACAGTAATTCGTTTTTGAATTACAACAAAATAAGGAAATCGCCACATGAGAAATCGAGTGAATATCCAATGTTGTAAAAATTTGAATTTCAAACGCTCATAAAAATTTAATTTGACTTTCTTATAGAATTTTTTTTTTTTGATAAATGTAGGAAATCTTATAAGGAATCTTGTATTACATTTTCATATCTTAGATTTAAAAAGAAAAATTTTTATGAATTTCTAACTCGAAATAATTTGCAAATTGTTGTGATTTTTCCATATTTTGTAATTTTTTGAACTTTAAATGCTTAAAAAAAAAAACTGTGACTAACGATTTTTAATATTTTTCAAATGCCATTGTAACAATATAGTAGGAGCCTTGTATTAAATTTTCAAGTATTTTTACTCAACAAATAAATTTTTATTGATATTCATAAAAAAAAAAACTAATAAAATTGGAAACTGAAAATGTCCCTAAACAGTTCAAAATAAATCAAAATATTTTGAAAATGTTATCGTGTATAGAAAATGCAAATATAAACAACCACTGAAAATTTCATGTATCTACGGTCATTTGTTTTAAAGTTACACCAAAAACCAAAATCGATTTTCTCGAAAACAGATTTTGTGTAAAAATTCCCGTTTTTCCTTAATTTTTCTTTTGTTTTTCCCAGCGCTTTTGAAAACTACTGGGAAATTTAAATTTTAACCTCCCCAATGCACCAACGATATTCACTTTCCAATCGAACAAGATACTGAAGTTGAAAATCGAAGCATTATTTCGACTACTTATCGTGTACACAGACACAAAAAAATAAATAAATAAATAAAAAAAAAAAAAAAAACACACATCATTGTAAAATTAATACATTCATCGTTTCATTCAGAATCTAAAATAAAAATATTTCCATTAATTTAGTACAATTTTTAAAATGATTCCCGTCCCCAGCGTCCCATTAAAATAAATTAGAAGGGTTACGCTAAAATATTTTTAAAATAGAAGTGGGACTCCGTCCCCCCGCGTCCCCCCCAATTCAACCACTGGACAGAATTAGATATTTAAATGACAAATAATGATTTCAGGTATTTTGTTATAATTTAAACATTTTACTGTGGCCTGTGGGTACCTACTTGAAACTATTAATGTGTATATAATATTATTTGCTGTATACACACAAATACACAATGACATTTTTAAATGCCATAATATTTTAGAAAAAATTACTTTAATCTACATTTTAAGTACTGTACTATTGTCTATAACAGTAAAATAATTAATCTAAACAGCAGAAATATTATAAAATATACTTAGTAATATTATTGTCTTTAGGATGGCAGATCGTCATCGCTCAAAGTTATAACCGTTTTTCGTATTCAATGTTTTTATATCATTGAATTCAAACTTACCCTTAAATCACAGAGACTGGGTAACACGTTTTTTTTTTCAATTGTATTTTGAACTGAATTATTCATTCAACATAAGCATATATTATTTGTAATCAAAGTAATTTCGTGTAGGTATAATACTTAAACATAATACATAGGTATAGGTAATCTAATTTTTGTACATATTTACAATTTACATATTCGTTATTTATAATTCATAAACATAATACATAGGTAGGTAATCTAATGTTTATACAAGTTTACAATTTACATTTAGGTACACATTATGAAATAATACATAAAGTAGAAACCGATATTGAATTATAGTTATTCAACATAAACATATTTCATTTGCAATTGATGCAATTACGTGTAGGTATAATTATAATACATACATATTACATATATACATAATACATAGGTAATCTAATTTTTTTCCCCGAAAGCGGAAAGCCAAGTGCCAAATGATTCGGTAGACCAAATACCAGGTTCTACGTTCCGGCGGCTTGTTGCGACCTGTCGGTCCGCCGATTATTTGAACCATTTCTCAAGCCGGGCCGGATTTTACGGTGCGATGGCGGCTAAGGGGCTAAAAGGACTTTATTTTGCAAACATTGCTGCAGTGACAGCCGAATTCCATGGACCGACAGATGTGGATGGACCTGATAACGGCATCCATATTCCAGCGGCTGGTCAGGGCTTGTGAACATGACTTACGAAATACGGTTGATACAACAGGGTCTACTGAAGTCGTCGGAAAAACGGTTAAACGTATAGCCGCCGCGCTTACATCATGCAGCCTTCGCAGATTTCTTCAAGTCGGCCCGCCGTGGATTTGGACCATATATTCTGGACCCGTGCTCAATTTTACGGTGCGATGGCCGCTAAGCGGTTAAAAGCTCTTTACTATGGCAACATTATTTGCTTCTGCGAAAGCGGAAAGCCAAGTGCCAAATGATTTGGTAGACCAAATACCAGGTTCTACGTTCCGGCGGCTGGTCGCGACCTGTGTAAAGGACTTGGCGAGGACCGCCTGTGTACCGGAGTTGCCCCTCGTCCGCGGTAAAGCACGATTCCGTACAACACTTTATTGAGAACACGATTCCGTACGATTTTGATCAAATAATGGATTGTCAAATTAACCGTAAAAACAACACGATTCGGTACGATTTTATGTGCAATGTTGCCATTTATTATGTTTATTTTCAATTTGTTATTTATTTGATTGTCAATAAAAAAGTTGATGAAAATTTGTCAAACAAAAAAATATGTAAAAATTTGTCTATTCAAAATATAAAATGTATGCATGTAAAAATATGTAAAAAATATGTAAAGAGTTCGATTATGGTAAACTGACAGTATCGTTTTTCGCCGGCATTAGTCAATTTGCCAAGACATATTATTAATTGTTTTAACTTTTAAGAGACGAACGCACAAGTTATAAATTGTAACAACCGTAAGCGAAATCTCTAGACACTAAATAATTATGAAGTGAAACACAAAATTATGTTATTTAACAGTATTATGCTGACATGGAAACTATATATACGTTTGAATATTATGGTTACTATGTATGGACTACATAATAAATATCAATTCAAATTTTGCAAGTAAATAAAACTGCAAAATAATTAAATACTGGAGTACACAAAGTGATTTATCAAGCATGCTAATATTTTATCTTTTTTAGTGGGTATAAATTGACGTTTATATTTATGACACTGGCTTTTGGTTTTTTAAGCAAAAATATAATTTGCAAACATGTCTTATCTCCCTTACTATTGTAGACGTTTGACAGAGGGAATCTATACTCTGTATTCCTGTATGTTAAGTTCCTTAAAATACGAACAAATTTTGTTTTGGTCTGAATTTGCCAAAGGCCAATAAAAATTAGTCAACAGACATAATATACAATGTTTGGATATTATGTTGTGTGGAATATGATGTAGCAAAGCGTATCTTGCAAGATCTGTCTTCGTATCCAAAAAATATATTAATGTTTAAAGACTTTTAAATTGGTGTAAAAATTAAAAATACACTTGGTTGGTTATATATTCTAACTGTAGTTGTAAAAATACCATATTATTAAAATATGGCGAATTTATGTTTCTATATTTTTAATAAACGTCACACGTCATGTTATAATAATGAGGTAAAATTGAAAGAAAGCAACACGAAGTTATTATAAATCTAGAAATATGTTTTTTGAATTTATTTTATTTTTTATTTATGCAGGTATATTATACTATTTAATGTAATGAGTAGGTATAGGTAAATGTAATTTCAAAGCCCATAGTTAATTGTATTTTAATTATATTTTTACTACCTATAGATTGTTTTTGGTTGACATATATTTCATAACCTTAACTTTTTCTCATTTGCTTATGAGGGCCACAATTAAAATAAAAGTCGCTCTGCTGTACAGTAGGTTACAAGATTGACACTGTATAATGGATAGTATTAAATTTGAATTCAATGATATAATATTATTGTATAAGAAAAAAAATTCTGAGCGGAGACGGTATGTCAGTCTAGGTTTAAGACATATTATATACAAATATCTATGGTATTAAAAAAAAATTGACCTATAATAAGTACCTATAATAAATTCCAAATTAATCACATCACTACAATATCCATTAGGTCATACAACACGTTATACAACAAAAACAAACCCTGATACTAACATAGATATGTAATAGTGTACTTTAGAAGTTTCAAGTACCCACGAATAATATTATACAATCACAACAAAATTATTAAAATAGTTATTCTAGGTTTTTTATTATGTAATATCGTCCAAATTTGAATTTAAAATGTCTGTAAAAAATAACTGTGTTCATATATTTTTTAGATTTTTTGGTTACAAATTAACTACTTATGTGGAATCTTGTTTTAAATTTTCAATCCTTACCTATAAAAGTTGAACATTTTATAAATTATTAACTACAAAATAATTATTCAATTTTAAATTTGATAAATTTTGTTAAGATTCGATCTTTAAATGCTTATAGAAAAAAAAATGTGGATATGTATTTTAAATATTTTTCAACTGATATTGTAACAATATATCAGGAGCCTTGCATTCAATTTTTACATTTTTTGGCCAACAGATAAAACTTGATTGATATTCATAGAAAAAAAAACTAAAAAAATTTAAAAATGAAAATATCCGTAAACAGCTCAAAAAGAGTCAAAGTATTTTCAAAATTGTATGGTGTATAGGAAATGCTAATATAAACATTCAGTGAAATTTTCATGTATCTATAGTTATTTGTTTGTGAATAACAACAAAATAAGGCAATCGCCACATGAGAAATCGAGTGAACATCCAATGTTGTAAAAATTTGAATTTCAAACGCTCATAAAAATTTAATTTGACTGTCCGGTAGAGATTTTTTTATTGATAAAGGTAGACAAACTTATGAGTAATCTTGTATTACATTTTCAAATCTTAGATTTAAAAAGAAAAAATTTTGCGAATTCTTAACTCAAAATAATTTGCTAATTTTCGTGATTTTTTCATATTTTGTCAAATTTTGAACTTTAAATGCTTATAAAAAAAAAACTGTGACTAAGGATTTTTAATATTTTTCATCTGTCTTTGTAACAACTTAGTAGGAACCTTGTATTACATTTTCAAGTATTTCTACTCAACAAACAAAGTTTCATTGATATTTTTAGAAAAAAAACTAAAAAAAATGGAAAATGAAAATGTCCCTAAACAGTTCAAAATAAATCAAAATATTTTGAAAATGTTATCGTGTATAGAAAAGGCAAATATAAACAACCAGTCAAAATTTCATGTTCCTACAGTCATTTGTTTTAAAGTTACACCAAAAACCAAATTCGATTTTGTCAAAAACCGATTTTGCGTAAAAATTCCCGTTTTTCCTTAATTTTTATGTTGTTTTTCCCGGCGCTTGTGAAAACTATTGGAAATTTCAAATTTTAACCTCCCGAATTCACCAACTAGATTCGCTTTCCAATCGAACAAGATACTGAAGTCGAAAATCGAAGCATTATTTCGACTACTTATCGTGTACACAGACACAAAAATAAAAAAATAAAAAACACACATCATTGTAAAATCAATACATTCATCGTTTCACTCAGAATCTAAAAGATCGCGGCGAACCTAGGGGCGTAAAAAACATGCGTAAAATATATCGCGGAACATTCGTGATTGAAAGTGTGAATATGAGGGCCAAATACTACAGTGCGATCTAGCGGTAAACCTGCAAATAAAACATATTCACTGGGACAATATTGCTTTCATTATGAACAATATACGACCGTGCGTATACGTCTATAATCAACCGTGGTTTACATTAAATTAAATGTGTACCTATCTTTATCACTTCCCGATCTTCCCAAGGAAAACGATAATTTGGAAGGCACATTTTCGGACAAGCGCTTATCACTCTAACTTGTTGCCCTATTGCTTTTTGGTGATTGTTGAGCACACAGATTTCCATAAATACTGGATAGCGAACTCCGCCATAGGCGCACATAGGGGGGTGCTTCCAAGCTTCAAACTAGCATCCTCAGTTTATTTCGGTATTTCACCAATCATTTATAAACTATCGTGGTTTATTGGTTCGGAATTTTTCTTTTTATTACAAATATTGACAACTGTTTACGAATTCACGATTAAAACAGTACTGTGTGAATGCATGTTTCAGTGTTTCAGTTTTTGTCAAAACAATAAACAGTGTGTAGCAATCATATTATATCATATCATTACAGAAAATTATATTATCTTACTGGTTATTTATATGTCCATTTTTTATGCATGATAAAATTTTCTAAATATTTTGAGTTATTTTGAGGTTTTTATGGACATTTTTAGTTTCCATTTTTTTTAGTTTTTTTTTCTATAAGTATCAATAAAATTTTATTTGTTGGGTATAAAAGCTTAAAAATGTAATAGAAGGCTCCTAATATATTGTTTTCAAATTTTATGAAATATAAAAACAAAGTTACACAGTAAATTTTCTCATTTTTGTATAGTGTGAACATTTAGTTTCTTAGCTTAGAGTACTACCTGAATGTTTTTTATACCCGTGCAAAACAGTTTTGCCTATGTTGTACACTTGTACCTACGTTTGTAACACGGAGACAACACATGTGGGTGTACCTAGCGTCTTCTGTACAATCATACAGACTATTTGATACATTGCACTTTAGATATTATTGTATACACTATACAAATTAAATCTAATGCAATTCATAAATATTAGGATTTAGGGGGGTGTGGAGGGCAAAGCCCCCCACGGATCTGTGCACCATAAATTATTCCAGCATCCCCTAAATTCACACCCAATGTGCGCCTATGGAACTCCCGCCACGAATGAAGCTTCAAGCTGGTCGGTTGGCAATTGTATGGTATTTCATATTATGACAAATAGGATTATATTATGATTTATTTTGTATCGTATCTTATTATTTCTAAACATGTTGTTTAAAATAAAAAAAGTCATTTCACATTTACTATTTTATTTGACCGTTAAAAAAAATGTTATTTCTAATACATGTTAAATGAAACATTTTGTGAACCGACAAAATGACGGTCGTCCACAGCTGAGCTTCACTTGTGACAATGTAAATTGTATAGGAGTTCCTTATCCAGTGTAGTATCTATAGAAGTCTGTGTTGTCTGTGTTGTTGATCATTGTTGAATATTATTTGTTCACTCGCACATGCGTACAATCATTGCATCATTCTTGTACCGACTGCTATCTTATTTGTCATGATAATATACATTATACGTTTTGTCCACCGGCGCCACCGCATTGAGCAGTCTTAAGTCTCCAGACACTTGTTTTTTTCTGGAGGTCTATCCAAATTGTTGAACAGAACAGTAATAATAGTATAGCAGTATAGCTGACGACTGTGATTCCATTTGTATTCGATTCCACTTATTATTTTTAAACGTAAGTATTTTTTAGTTTCATTTTTAAAACATTGAAACCTTTTTGTGACTCATTTTGCGATGCCGTTTTGTGGCGCCGACGACGATTAACAAATATGTCCGAGCCGGTGAAGACAGAAGTTCATCGTTGTCGCAAACTCGTAAATATGACATGGCGGTACCATAATGTATTCAGTACTGCATTTGTAACGGTCGATTTTCCGCCTTTTTACATTTTCTATCACTTGTTCTATGGCGGCTGGCCTTTGCATTTTTCCAATCGATACGACTCATCGAGATGTGTCGGATCATGGGACCTAAGGTTTAACCTTGGAACTCGGTCGGTAAAATCAGTGGGTTCAGCGAAGCCGAAGTTTAAGCTATGATTGCAAAACGGGCCCTCAGGGAAATCAATATTTTGTTGATAGTTCTTCCCAGTTAGCAGCGTAGGTATGACATAATTAGTGTTTGAACATTTCATGAAATTTTAAAAAAATGAAATATTTCAAATGTGTGAAATATGTTTCTGTGAAATATTTCACCATGTAGTATTTCATACTTCCAACACTAGCCATAATTATTAAAAAACACCAAATTGATTAATTTATTTTGGATTTTTGGCTATTAAATGATGTTATCTTATTATAAATTCATAATAAATAATAATAATTACATCATTAATCAATACTCAAAAATCAAAATAAATCAATCAGTTTTTGAACATTTTAAATTACACCTATTACTCCGGACTCAGGAGCCATATCAACACTGTTCGACATGAGGTAATTACTTTGTATTGACCACAGTTACTTAAAATAAATCATGATATTAAGCTGAGATGACGTTACCACGCATTTGTTATTTTTTTTTAACAACGCGTAACATTAAAATTATTATATTCAGCGCATTCACGTTAAGTAATGTCCATTTTTTTGGGTATTAAAGTGAATTGACTGATTATCAAAATTAATGATAAATCATTTTGTTTGCTTTTATGTTAGTTTTTACATTATTTTAACTGTTGAGCAAAGTATGTATAAGTACTTAAAAACAATTTTTAACATAATATGTATATTATACTAATTTAGGTAAACGCACATAATATTAATTGAAGGTATTAACTTTAAGTTTGATAATAGATCATGACATGTTGACACTCTAAATATTAAATACTGGTTTAGCTTAAAAAGAATAAAAATTATTTTGTTTTCAAATGAAGACCTTTTTTTTTTCGTATTATCGAGGACCGGGGAGAGAACCGCGATTTGCATTTTAGCTCCCCGGATTGAATTACAGCTCCCCGGGTCAAATGAACACCTAATGTAATTAGTAATTTCATTCTTAACAGATTAAATTGATTTTTTAACAGATCATTTAACATTCTCATTTTTACTAATTAATTCATATTTATTTAAATATGCATGCTTTTGATATAGTTTTATAAATAATTCTCGTATTCACAAACTAATAATACAAATAGAATATGCATATTTTGAATTAATATTCAATGAGTATTACCTATTCGCTATTATACATTATTAAAGTTAGTATGTTTTGTATTCAAAATTTAATATTTATATAATAAAAAAACTATTTAATTATCAATTTAATATATTTGATTCCTATAAAGTTATTAATTTGTAAAGTTAATAATTACCTAATTTTAGATTCTGAGTGAAACGATGAATGTATTGATTTTACAATGATGTGTGTTTTTATATTTATTTTTTTATTTATTTTTTTTGTGTCTGTGTACACGATAAGTAGTCGAAATAATGCTTCGATTTTCGACTTCAGTATCTTGTTCGATTGGAAAGTGAATATCGTTGGTGCATTGGGGAGGTCAAAATTTAAATTTCCCAGTAGTTTTCACAAGCGCCGGGAAAAACAACATAAAAATTAAGGAAAAACGGGAATTTTTACGCAAAATTGGTTTTCCAAAAAATCGATTTTGGTTATTGGTGTAACTCTAAAACAAATTAACGTATATACATGAAATTTTCACTGGTTGTTTATATTTGCATTTTCTATACACGATAACATTTTCAAAATATTTTGATTTATTTTGAACTGTTTAGGGACATTTTCATTTTTCATTTTTTTTTAGTTTATTTTCTAGAAATATCGATAAAATTTTATTTGTTTGTTAAAAAAACTTGAAAATTTAATAGAAGGCTCCTAATATATTTTTTCAAAGGTAGATGAAAAATATTAAAAATCGTTGGTCACAGATTTTTTTTATAAGCATTTAAAGTTCAAAAATTGACAAATCACGAAAATTAGCAAATTATTTTGAGTTAAGAATTCGTAAAAATTTTTCTTTTTAAATCTAAGATTTGAAAATGTAATACAAGATTACTCATAAGTTTGTCTACCTTTATCAATAAAAAAATCTCTACCGGACAGTCAAATTAAATTTTTATGAGCGTTTGAAATTCAAATTTTTACAACATTGGATGTTCACTCGATTTCTCATGTAGCGATTTCTTATTTTGTTGTTATTCATAAACGAATAACTATAGATACATGAAAATTTCACTGAATGTTTATATTAGTATTTCCTATACACTATACAATTTTGAAAATATTTTGACTCCTTTTGAGCTGTTTACGGATATTTTTATTTTTCAAATTTTTTTAGTTTTTTTTCCCTATGAATATCAATAAAGTTTTATCTGTTAGTCCAAAAAGTGTAAAAATTTAATACAAGGCTCCTGATCTATTGTTACAATATCAGTTGAAAAATATTAAAAATACATATTCACAATTTTTTTTTATAAGCATTTAAACATCGAATTTTGACAGAATTTTTCAAAATCTCGAAAATTAATAATCATCGTAATTAATAAATTATAAAATGTTCAGTTTTTATAGCTAAGGATTGAAAATTTAAAACAAGATTCTACGTAAGTAGTTAATTCTCTTACCGAAAAATCTAAAAAATATACTATCACAGTTTATTTTTATAGTCATTTTATGTTCAAATTTGGACGAAATTACATATTAAAAAACCTAGTTATTCTGTTGTGATTATATAATATTATTCGTGGGTACTGGGTACCTACTTGAAACTTCTAAAGTGTACTATTATATATCTATGATAGTATCAGGGTTTGTTATTGATGTTGATGTATAACATGTTATAAGTACCTAATGGATATTGTGATAATGTGATATGATTAATTTGGAATTTATTATAAGTCAATTTTTTTTTTAATACCATAAATATGTATATAATTTGTCTTAAACCTAGACTGACATACCGTCTTCGCTCAGAATCGTTTTTCTTATACAATGATATTGTATCATTGAATTCAAATTTAAAAGCATCCATTATACAGTGACCCACTTGTAACCTACTGTACAGCAGAGCGACATCCACTTTTTACATTTGGTTTTCAGATTCAACAAACAGATCGTTGGTGGTCCGTCTCTGTGGTGGTATGCTAATCTTCATAAAGAAGACCATTACATTGGATGTGGAATCATCTGATTCCATTGAAAATGTTATGGCCAAGATCCAAGACAAAGAAGGTATCCCACCGGATCAACAAATGTTGATCTTTGCCAGTAATCAACTTGATAAAGGGCTCACACTTTCTAACTACAATATTCATCATGGATCTACCATTGAATTGGTGCTGCGTCCTAAAGATTATGTACGAATCTTCATAAATAATCAGTTTGATGGACAGATCTTTGAATTGAAAGTAAAGACATCAGATACCATTGAAACTGTAAAAGCCAAGATCTATGAAAAACTAGGCACAGATTTTTGGAGTCCATCCCAAATACGTTTAATCGCTGGCCGTCATCTTCTTGCAGATTGGTGCAAAATTTCCGACTGCGACATACAAGAGGACACTATCATTTTATTGACGAATCGTTTAACTGGTGATTGATCTCAGATAACAAAAAAATGGTATTTATAAGTGAACATGATTATTTGCTTGTAAATAAAATATCATCTTCCAAGATTTGACTTATTTAATTAAATTTACTATTTCATAAATTTTTAACTACAAAATCATTTTAAAATTGATTAATGTTGTCAAAAATCGAACTTTCAATGGTTATAAAAAAAATTGTCCCTATGTATTTTTAATATTTTTCAACTGCTATTTAAGCAATATATCAGCAGCTTCGTATTAAATTTTGTAGATTTTTTGGCCGAACAAAGAAAATGTTACTGTTATTTATATTAATATTAAAGTGTTATTTACAAATACAAGACGATGTTATATTTAGTCAACTAAGTCTTTATTTATTTTAAGTACAGTATCAATATAGAGTATTTTTTTCTTTTTTATTATACAGTGTTTGTTATTTTTTTTTTATTTTTTTTTTTGTTATGTTATTCGAATTAAAATACTAGAAAATGATGTTTACTGTTACTCCCTACACCACCACAAGCTTAGCTTAAAGGTGTAGGTAATTTTTTTTTATTTCTAAATACTTTGTACAATTTGTGTTTTTCAAATAATAATAAAAAAAAATTCACTACAGAACATTAAAAAAAATTAAAACAAATTTTATTTTATTTTGCGTTTTTTGATGTTTTTTAGCTTTACAGCTTTGTAGTGAATTAACAATTGGAGATAAAGTTCTGAAAATCATCACTGCACTTCTCCTAGCCAATGTGCATCTAACAAGACCCCAAACAACAAAATCCGTTCTCCAGTTTCGGAAATCTACCTCACTAAATGAAAATTCTTCTGCCATTATTCTTTAGTGAGGACTGCAGTCCTCGGTGTAAGTTGTTGGGTACGTGGCATGTTTTCACGGCTCATATAGCTTATTATAATTTTATACTATAGCCGGTAACATACGGATTCACCTTTTTCATCGATACGTCCTGACATCGTCGTATTTGCCGGTTTTCATCGATTGGTTTTGATCACATATAACTTGTATTATTCGTGAGTATAAAATACCTATATTTAATATAATAATAATATATTATATTATATCATACATTACGTCCATAATATTGAATATATTAGAAATAATATTATCTATCTACATAATAATCAATAATAATAAGTAAAACATATTTCGTAATAAAATGCATTGTGTATATATTTTCACTAGGTATTGTTATAATATGATATAATATATTATGTATTGTATATCATATGCCATTATATATCATATTATATTATTATTATATTGCTTTATTAACTCTTGAGTCGATACTTTCCTATCATAGATCGGTGCTTGAATCGGTTTGTGGTATAATCAAAATGTATTACGCAAAGCGTAAATTTGATATTATAAGACGGAAACAATAATAGACGGCCGTCGGTCTTCGGTAAAATTTAAAGCCCGCCACTTTTGAACTGACGATGTTAAATGTGATCTGCTGATCGTAAATTTGCTATATAAGACGGAGACAGTAAAACGCCCGTGTTAAGTCTTAAATCGTGGTTCGTGGAGCTGCATCGTTCACGAAATTTCGGACTTCGGTAAAATGTAATGTTTTAATGCCCGCGATTCTGTCTTATCACTATACACCACGAACTATGATAGTAATAATTGTTATCAAATAAATAACAACATAATGATATTATTATTTTTCCGATGTAGACTTAAAATTTGAATCACTCGCGAGTCTCGATTATTTGAAATTCGAACAAAAATACAGACTACAGAACTACAGTCGTAGGTACAGATTACTATTCATAAATTTTGGTACAAAATCACCATGGATAAGTGTATTCTTTTTAGTAAAACATCAAACGTATCGCCTAGGCACATTACGTTAATTTTCAATTGTAAGTATTATTTTCTAGTTGTACTGATAATATTTCTTAATAATGTGGAGTCAGTCTAATTTGCTAATTTGTTCACAAAAATAGGTAGATTTCCAAGAAATCAATGAAATAAAAGGAAATAATGGCTACAAATGTTCGAAATATCTCGATTTCTACCCGGCATAGAATCTGCGGTAATCATTTCTCAATTATTAGTGATTGTAAACAATGCTCAGTAAATTAGTAAATATGGGCAGAGGCTGTCTCAAAACATAATCCAAACCACTTGTCTGGGATAGAGAAGTAAAATAAATGTTAGTAATTTACGGCAACATTGGTACTGCTCTGAGCACGACTAGTAAATCGCATCTAAGAGGTAAAATCATTTAACATAATTCATAAATTTGGTACCTGTTTATGTATTTTTTTTTACAACTTGACATTTTCAGAAATCATGTTTCTTCAATGATGAGTTAGAAGAAAATTAACAGAAGAATAAAGGATTTGGAGGCCGTACAGTTGATGATTGTTTTAATTCGCCCAGAAAAGCCTTAGATACTCAATAATGTCAAATTCACACACACATGTGTAAGTATATCACACAAGTATCCAATTTTAAATATTTGCCAAAACCAAAAGTTACTTAATAGTTTATCGTTTTTAGTTCATACAATGGATTATACTTATTATGAATTTCAAAACTGAAATATATGCAAGTACCACATGCAAGGAACTAGGTAGTGGAGCCAATGTATTGACAATATTTCAGACGTTGACTTTCTTGGAGATAATTCTACCGACTCAGATAAAACCATATAATGTTGGAGCGAATTATGAAACTTAAAGGTGAGAATATTATTGATAGGTTTTTATTTCAAATCTATTTTACAGTGCTACTTACTAACTACATACCCATTTGTTCGCGGGACACATTGTGTAATATTATCAAATTGTGTGCGTGGACATATTATATTTGTCTATGGAAAGGGCTCAGCCCGTTTACTCAAAATAAATTAATAAATTAATATGTTAAGTATATGTTATAATCTTAAAATATCCAAGACTTATTTTAAGAATATAACAAGTGCTTGCCCATAAGGTTCTTTTTAAAAAAAATGTTTGCCTTTAAGTTTGATTATAATACATTATGTCATATCACTCATCACTGTAATATATTAAGACTAAAGGTACAAAACTTGATCTACTGTACTCGCATTTGCATGTTGCTCGTTGTGCACAGAGAGAGAGGACAAAATATGGTGCACTGACATATTTTTAACAAAGTTTTAATTTTTAGATAATACAATTTTGCTGAACAAGAATCCAATTTTAATAACGCAGAGGGCCACAACATAATATTGAAATTGCAAAGAAACACATAACTAGTTTTGAAATCGTTATCTCTTCCCAAGGGAAAGTGCATCTAGATGGATGCGTTAAACAGGTAATGATTGAATGTTCCCAGTTGTTTTCAAATATATCAGGAAAAACAAAAAGATAATTAAGGAAAAATTGATTTTGTTTTATAATCGTGAGAAAAAAAAATAATCCCTAGGTATAGATACATGATTTGTCTGCCGAATGTTCCTATTAGCATTTTCTATACACCATACACTTTTCACAAATGTAAAGGATACATAGCCACAATTTTTCATGAGCATTTAAAGTTCACACTTGGACAAAATTCATCAACAACTTGCAAATTATTTTGTAGTTAAAAATGTATTAAATGTTCAATTGAATATTTAGCTTATGCTTATAGTAAAAATTGATAAAAATTGATCATAGTAATATTAATTATCAAATTGAATATAAATATGTAAATTATTGGTTTACAGGTAGTCAAGTCCGTTCCCATTTGCAATGAGGAAAGACAAACTTCTTTGAAAAAAGAGTATGCAATTACCAAAAAGCTTCAGTGGCTGTTATTAAAATTCTTCAACTATCAACAATTTACATATAACTGATGAAGACTTTTAAATTAGGTATATTCTGATAGGTACCTATTTCGTTTAATTTGTGTACTTATTTTACCTACTTCCCCCCCCTCCATCAGAAAGTTATTTTAGTTACTTTATTTAACCAAAAGAAAACTATACCTACAAACTGTGGACTTATGTTTGTGAATTAAATCATTTTGTCAATGACTAATTTAAGATAACTTTATTTTTAAATGTTATAATAAAAAAGAAAAGTAGGTACCTATTTAAAACAATTATAAACTATACCATCATACTTTTCATATTTGTCGTATTGATAGTTTATAATATTTTACGAATTTTGTCAAAATTGTAATGTGCTGGTAGCTTGGTGCCTACTATTGTAGTATAAATAATAGGCAAGTGGCTACCAGTACATTAATGTTGCAGGTAGCAGACACTTTTTCTGATGATGTAGCCGTGGTTGATGATTAAATAAGATAAACAGTTGTTGTATGTATAGTTGTGAATTTATTATTACACTTCAATAATTTTACTAACTCCAAATATTGTCATACAGAGTGGCGTGACGGTGCTTGCACTAATGGGTGGTAGTACACGTCTGAATACAGGCCGATTCGGGCTCCCTTATATATGAGGTTCCCGTATCCCTTGCCTATGGATACTGTATCTCGGCTCACGGATGTGATTTGTGTGGTCATCGTTCCAGCCCACACATTTATGATTTCCCAATATAATTCTGCGTATTACTAAAATATTATTCTATGGTCTATTTCATTAAAATAATCATTCTACTCTTTTAATATCGTTGTGTTCAGTGCTTCTGTAAAATATTACATCCGCCTATTTTTTTAACCCTTTCGCCTGAGTCATTATATTATTCGTTGACCTTGTTTCCTTATGTCAAACACAGGAGGAAATCCTATTTCCATTTTTAATAACCGATTTATGCCGATCTACAGTATATTATGTTAAATATGCACTTATGCAATTGGTTTAATTGTTACGTAGTAACTTGCTTACTACATCTCCCCCTTTAAAAGTTGATTTTTATCGTCTAAAACGAGAAAAATTAACTCAATTATCCTTCCATTAGTTCAAGCACTTTCCTATGGTTACAAGTTTACATACATCAATTATTACATTACATTCAATTATTACATGTTTACTGTTTACATAATATGTTTGTTACAAATATTTAGTTACATT